CTCAGGCCCACGCCTCAAAAGTTGCATCACTAATATTTGTTATAAACTTAGGTTCTGCTCTTTTCAATTATCCTCACTAAATATGTATCTCCATAAATAATTAATACGAAATTGAGTTGGAAAGAATTTCAGAGATATAAGACAAATTATTGAGGAAACTGTGAGTATGTTATGACTTAAAGCGACTTCACTAATTGCAATCCCGAATTTCTTCGGCTTCTAAGAAAGCTCGATTTTTTTCGAAAGTGGCAAAGATGATTGCAAAAAAAGTTAAGCATGGAAACGCCCAAAGTTGAAATGAAAATCCAAAACATTAAATGGTCACTGGGTTTATTTTATAAAACTTTGATTACTAATTGCGATGTAGTACAAACAATCCTCATTTTGGGAATGGAATAAAAAAATTACTTCATTCTGATTTTATTCATTGAAAAAATTGAGTTCAATTTATTGAGATTCTTGATAATTTGCATAAATTATTTGGAGATTCTTTTAAAATCTCTGGAAATCCTATAAAATCATAAGAAGCTCTTAAGTATCTTTGAAAAACCTTAAAGATCATTTGAATTTCCTTAGAAATATCTCTATATATTCGCAGAAATAACCTTACAGATTATTAGAATTTCGTGGAATTTGTTTGATATTCTTGGAAATCTTCTTGTAATGTCTAAAAATTCTTTAGAAACACTTAGATATATCTATAAACATCTAGATATTACTGAATATCCAAGAATATATCGAAAGTGTTTTGGTAAATATAGAAAAATTCTTGGAAAGCGTTAGGCATGCCTAAATATCCTTAAATTTTTTTATAAATTCTCTATAATGCCTTAGATCTACTGTATTAGTATTAAAGTTTTTAAAAATCCTTTTAGACTCATTGTAACGTCTGGATATTCTTACTAATCTTTAGTTCATGATGGAAATTGTTAAGAATCTCCTGGAAATCATTACAAATCTTCAGTATTTCTATAAATCGCTATCTTGTTCTACAAGATAGAGAGAGAGAATTTGATTGAGAATTTATTAGCGTAGGTTTGTAAAATGGATGACTAAGAACAGAAAATTAATGCACAGCCTTACGCCTTAATTAATGAAATTCCAACTATAGACGTTCCTGAGTTAGGTTATCTCCCATAAAGCTATTTAGTCGCATTTTGAGTGTCTTGTTTATGTCTGCAGTTACTGCATACTATAATGTATAATTGAAATGAAATGAATGTTAACACATTCGCTACCGCGCCTTCTGCAGTAGTTTTTTCCCGTGTACCATTCGTAGTTTCTTTGATTTCGAGATTCAGGTTTGTGTTACTAAACGAACAGGTAGGTTTTTTTGTATATGACGTTTTTGCTAAATTTTTCTAATAAAAGACCTAGTCTAGTTTACTGGACTTTGAATTTCTAATTTCTGTACCAACGTCCAGTTAACTGGACACACCTGAATTTCTTCAAAGTCTCTGTTTTCGTTTTCTAAATACAACGTAATGTGCTATACAAACCAAAATGAATACTAACCCAAAATATTACAAAACATAATTATTGTGCACTGTGCCAGAAGCATGGATCTACGCATAAACCAGGGTTTTCTGAACATATCGGGCAGTTATATTTCTATTTCTTGTATAGTCTACCTCTGCTACACTGCCGATTGTCTCCAAATAATGGAATTCTGATTGTTGGTCTGTGGTTGACCTAGTATATTCGGTGATCCATCATTAACCTGTAGCATAGCCTTTATAACTTCTTCTCTGAACGTCAAGAGGTCAATTTGGGTTGTACCTCTTTCCTTTTAATATATGTAATAGGCATTCCACATTGGGCATCTTATGATTTGAATAGTATCCCATCATCTGGTCTGATCTGCCTATCACTGGTTTTCTTACTTGTTTTTCTTTTCTATTTATTGCTTCTACCATTCGGTGCTTATGCATTGTTGATATCATAGCCACCAATCTCTAATCATTCCAGTATGTAACTAACACTGAACCTTTTCTTTTCCATACAGCTTCTCCTTTCTTAATTTCTTCTTGAAATAATTGCTTCGGATTTCCCTTTCTAAATTTTCGCAATATTCCTACAAGTTTCGTCTTTCTTTTGAACAAATATTTTGCTAGCCGGACACTATATTTCATGCCCTTTATCCAAATAGTCTTTTAGTAGCTCCGTTACGACTGAAAACGTGTGGAAATGCTCTTGATCATTATCTATTACATATTTTCTGCAACCGGCACTGATGTTGCGCGATTATTTCTTTCAGTTGCAACTTTATTTATTATATCATCGTCAAAGAATAATCTGAAGTAATCGATAGGTTTGGCGTTATTGCCCAAATTCGATATAAATTCGAAATTTCTGATAAATGGTCAACAATGTACTCTAACTCAGGTTCAGTAAGCTTTCTTTTTCGTCGTTGTAAATGGTCTTGATATCTTGCCCTTGTATTTCGCGTACTAAGGCTAACCATAACACAGAATCCTTTATTTTTACAGTTTCAAACAAAGCAGTATTTGTACTTACCCAGGAACTGCTACATTCTTAGTTGCCCTCATTGTTCTTATATAAGAAATACGACTACAAGTAACTAAACACAGCAGTAAATTAGCAAACTGGACACGATTAACCACGAAAAACCTCTCCGTCCAGTAGACTGGACATCGGTAGCGAACGTGTTAAAATAAGTTGTTCAGAAATCAGAGAAAATAAAATCACCAACTAACGAGAATCAGCCAGATTATAATGAGTTCTGATTTTGAACAACAGGAAATTTTAGACCAAATCATGGTTCTCTTAGGAGTTACACTAGTTTTAACTTCTCTAACTCTTGTGTAAACTAATTACATTTTCAGACTAAGCCCAATGCACTGTAAGGAAATGTATCATTGAGAATTTGTTGATTTAAGATAACTCTAAACACAAACTTCCTATCATATATGGTATTTATCAGCAATTATAGAGTCAGCTCTAATTAGGAAGGATTTCAAAATGATATGCCTTGTTCCATTATAATATCTAGAACTTTTATAATTAAGTTAAGAGAATCTTCCATTCTTCCATTATAATATTTAGAACTTTTATAATTAAGTTAAGAGAAAATCGTGATGTATTTCAATTCTTTTGATAATTATTGGCAGAATCAACGTATTTCAATGTGTAATATTTTAAAAGAAAGCTTAATTAATAAGAAATTCAAGGCATTTTGACGCCTTTTATTTAAATAATACGAAATCGATCAGGTCAGGTTACTAAGAAGAAATTAAATCTGCTAAAATCAGACTTAAACTACATCTTTTGAATTGAGATATTTTCATGTACGATATCTTAAAATAAAGCCTAAATAACAACAGTTTTAATGTGATATAAATTATTTTAATGCAATGTATGAAACGTTTATCATCGAGGTATTTGTGTAGTTATTATTTTATATCATTTGGACAGATTGAGATATTTTTGCGCTTGATATCTCAAATAAAACCCTCATTATTACGGATTTCAATATGATATGTCTCGTTTCATTACATTATTTAGAACGTTTACAATTAAGTTATATATTCGTCTCTATGTTTATAAATAGGAATTAATAAATAGATAATTTATTTGAAATAAATTATATAAATTTTTCAAATAAAAGTGTGATGATGCATAGTTATTTCCGTCTAAAAGAAAATAACAACCGGACTAAAACTGAAACCACTTTAAAATGCAATCCGTTACCATCCCATTCTAATAATCACGTTGAATACAAATCCGATCTCGAATGTAGACGTTTTTATCGTGAACGATCGTCGTTTTGAATTATAAAATCTTAATCGTGTGATTAGATTATATAATTAACTAGGTATTTGTTGTAAACGGACACCGTTTGTGTATGAAATGAGATAATGACAGGATGACAAATTATACTTAAATCACTAAACGTAAAACCGAGCGGAAGTCGCTGTCTCTTGTAATTACCTGACAAAAGGTGAATTAATAATTATTGTAATAAGAAAATGTTTTAGTTATATATCTTAATTTTGTATTGATTAATTGAATCGATGAGGAAATCTATATTTGTCTTTACCAAAAATGGTTGATTTGCGTCACATAATTGCTTTGAATTAACATTGGTAATCTTTTTGGTTGTTATGCAATAAATGTCGTCGCAAATTTAGGCCGACCTTGAAGGTATCAACCCAAGAATCTTCAAGGTTGGGGTCGATATAACGTTCAAAACGTGCTCGTGCAATAATGAACTCGTCATCGGCTGCGGAAATCACTGCACGGGTGCCTCTACCTGGTCTAATTCTACGTAAGGTTTATAATGGAGCACGTTTTCTTTGAAATTTCTCCCTCTTTCCCTCCACACCCATTTCAAAACAATACCTTTTGACCAGTTGGACCAAGAATAATATAAATAAAAGAAAAAGAACCCCAACACAAGTCTGGCAGGTGCTACTGATCCTTAAAGGCACAGAACGATTTAAAATACAAAAGCCAAAAAAATATATTTCTGTTTATACCAATTACTTTTAATAGAGATACTTAAATATAACATGTTCTTGAACTTCTTGTACAGGCTTCATTAATCTTAATTAAAACAACAGGGTATTTATTATTGAAAATGACAACCCACTTCATCATCAATTCTAATCAATAACTCTTGTTTAACAATAATATATTACATCTCTTTATCATTAAATATCTCGTCGAATAGGGTCAAATTTGTTTTTGATTTAAACACAATTTCCGGTGTATGTTTTAAAATCAAATCCGTAATAAATTGATCATTATTTTAGTGTATACCCCAAAAATGTTGTATATAATTTAGTTTTTTTTAAGTAATAAAAGTTACAAAACGTTAAAGCAAACCCCAAACTAAATTTAGGAATTCTATTTTAATTCTAGACACAGCTGAACATCCTGAATGTACAAAAGCACACAGATGTTGTCTGGACAGAAAGGGTGCAGAAGATTTATAGTTTCCCTTTTTAGGATTGTTGAAGGTCTTGAGAATCACTTACCTCGTTGTTTTTCGGGTTGTTTCCCCAATTTTCTTCTCACTCGACAAACTCAAAAACGACGAGTTTGTAAAATCGAAAAGTGATCAAGAAGAAAGTTCATGTCACATCGTTCGTTTCGATCTTTCAAAAAGAGTTATAAAAGAACGGAATCGTTTTACACCTTAAAACCACAAAGAACGAGAAATAAAAACACTATCGAACTGTTCGCTGTTGGATTCAGTGTCATGTCTGTGATCGACACTGATTGTTTTGTTTGGGTATGTGTGTGATAAATTTGTTTTGAGATTTCGCGCGGCACGCACACCGACCGTTCGAAGAATAAGTTGGAAGGATCGCTCTTTGAGAGAACAACCGAACCTGCTCCGTAGGCAGACAGCGCGCGAATGCCTCCTCTAGATTAAGTTGTGCCCAAGAAAAGCTGACAGTGAGTGCCGTACCACTTCCTTTGGGGGCTCCTTTCCTCTTCTTGCTTACTGAAAGTATCAGCCCTTTTTAGTTGTTTCGTCTCTCTTTTGTACTCCCGACTTTCAGACGCCCGACAGATGGGGTGGAGAAGAATACAGGTCCGGATTAATTTTAGAGAGAATAAAAGATATAAGCTAAAATTTTCAAAGCTTTTATAATTTTATCACTAATATGAATTAAGCAGTATTTTTTATTAAGAACTTTTCATCAATTTCTCGCAATTTAGCATATTGCATTACTGAAATGATGACATTGATCTGAAATGATTCTTTTGACATTGATCTATTGAAATACGAATATGTATTATAATTGATTAAATTCTAAGATCTTATTGAAATACGATTTGTTTAAATTTCTTATGATCATGCATAAGCAAGTTTGTAGAGTTGGATTTAAAAAATCATAACATCGGTGTTTATGGATAATAAAAAATTATTTGTGGCACATTAAAACTTAATTAAATCTGCTTTGAAATGTTGCATATCTCATCATTATATCTCATATCGGTCTTGAGATACGATATTTCCAAGTGTATCAAATCATTAACAATCAAACATTTGGAATTGTATTTAAAAAATTATAACAATGGAGTTTATGGAAATAAGAAATTATTTATGGCACTAAGAAACTTTATTAATTTTAGTTTAAATTGTTTCCTATTTCATTCGGAAAATCTCAAATCGTTCTTGTGATATGATTTTTTAATTTCAATTATTATTTTATTTTGGACAATCAAATATGCAGTGTTGGGTTTAAATAGCATAACATCGCTTTTATGGATGGTTAAGATAAATTATTTGGGGCACATTAAAAATCGTTTTTGAGATACGATATTTTCAAATTGTATTCTTGTACTGTTTAAAAAATTGTAATAACTGAACTACACGAAACAATATACAAAAAGTGTTGCGAAGTTGGATCTCAAGGATCATAACACTGATGTTTATGGCAAATATTAAAATATTTAAGGGAAAATAAAATATCGATTATATTTGTTTTAAAATGTTCTTTGTCTTAATTCTTAAGATACGATTTTTAAGAATCAATTTTCCAGTTTATAACTATCAAACATGTAAATTTTGTATCTTTCCGTGGTGATTGTAAATTACTCAAGCATTCATAATTCATTTCTTTGGCATTATTTAAAAAATAAGCAGACTTTTCTCAAACTTTCGACCAGTCCTTCTCTTTCACGACTTTTTTCTTTATTATTGAATGTTTTTCATCCTATTTTATTAGTTGGAATGCATCTATGATCTAGTTCTTTAATCATTTTTGCACGCCATTTTTTAAATATGGTTTAAATATCTTGAAGTTTTTTAATAACCTTCTATATGAGGCATCTATTTTAATAAAAAGTTGAAGTTTGTAATTTGTTTTCCTCGTTTCATCATACCTTTTGGAACTCCAACTTCTGAATTATAAGCAACTTCGTCTTGTATCAAAAAGTACCACTGATTGTGAGCAGATGGTTTTATAAATGTTTCAAACGTGATTTTCCAATTATAGAGAGGGCAATCTTTACCTAAGTTAGTTACAAGTGCATGCTGCTTGATAATGTTAAAGTACTGGTCGGGTTTTACCATTATTTCTATCTTGCGAATTTTTTTTTTGATTTGTGCAATCACCCTGTCTGGTGGCAGAAATAAGTGCCCTACCATAGAGAACACCACTTCCACTCTTTTTAAAGTATTTGGGGCTTTCAAGGCATACCAGTAGGTGAGCATCCCCAGCAACACAGTATTTTTAATTTGGCTTTTTATTCAAAATAATCTAAAAATAATACTAATTAAGTTATCTAACTAAGCACGCACCTACGCTTTTTTTCTTGGCTTCTTTTTAATTCGCTAGGATTACTAACTTCTTAGAGTGCTTTGCCTGGGGGAACTTCTTCGGCACTTTTCTGCATTTTTAATGCTGTTTGCAATAAACAGTAGCAACACTTTTAATTATTTTAACAACCACAACGAACAATCAGCTGTCTCTGCTGAAAGTCAAGATATCACGCGGTACAGAGCATACGCAAATCCAAATTATGGATGTGGTTGTTTTTGCAATAAACTCAGTCATGGATGTAGCCGTCTTTGCAACATACTAGCATATTCAAATGCACTTCCAAGTGGGATGGAGCAGTTTTAGAACGAACTGGCTTTACCATATCACGAAGTATGTTTTACAGTGCACTTTCCACTCTCAGTGAATTTTGATAAAGTATGGATGTAGTCCCTTTTGCAATTAGACGCCTCATATATTATAGGTGTAGCCAGATTAATGAGATATGTCAGTATTTTTGTCTTCGTAAGGAAATATTGTCTAAATATTAACGCAATGAACATTTTTGTTCTAGAATAACATCTTCAAATGCTTAACAACAAATTTCGGCATTTTTTTTTAAATTTTAATTGGCCTATAATGCTCGGCAGGAGTATTATTGTTATCAGTGAAATGTAATTATCTCAACATGTCGAATTTGTTCCTTCTCTTAATCTTCAATAGATTAAGAAGAGGTGGTATTCTTAGAACGGGAGTTAACGATGAACCTAAGGTTGTATTTCTGGTTATGATACTCGTTATGAAGCACTCTATACCCTCATCGTTTAATATCAGTATAAATTGTCGTTTATTTTTTTGTATTGCCACCTTACTTGCTATTCTTCATCTCCTATCAGTATCCTTGTTTTGATATACAAATTAATCGATTGTGTGCTGTGGTGAGGTTTTTAATTACTCGTTAGAATTTCAAGCATCCTTTCATGTACTGCATATACAAATAATGAATGCAATCATCTTGTTTTTAAACATGTTGAGGATGTTCTTTAAGGAGATACTTTAATAANACTTGTTTTTTAAAATTTGAAAATATGTTCAAAATTAGTCTTTAATCAAGCAGGCCTGAACCCCAAAAGATGACAGTTAATATCGAAAAAAATTTACATTTTATAAGAGTCGATTCACCTATCCGGGGACACACTGTATATGAGGCATCTATTTTAATAAAAAGTTGAAGTTTGTAATTTGTTTTCCTCGTTTCATCACACCTTTTGGAACTCCAACTTCTGAATTATTCGCCTTATATCAGAAAGTGCCACTGATTGTGAGCAGGGGGTTTTATAAATGTTTCAAACGCGATTTTCCAATTATAGGGAGGGCAATCTTTACCTAAACTAGTTACAAATGCATGCTGTTTGATAATGTTAAAGTACTGGTCGGGTTTTACCATTATTTCTATCTTGCGATTTTTTTTTTCGATTTGTGCAATCACCCTGTCCGGTGGCAGAAATAAGCGCCCTAGAGAACACCCCCATTGAGAACACCCCCATTGAGAACACCACTTCCAATCTGTTTAAAGAATTTGGGGCTTCCAAGGCATACCAGTAGGTGAGCGTTCCCAGCAACACAGTATATTTATTTTTGCTTTTTATTCAAAATAAACTAAAAATAATACTAATTAAGTTATCTAACTAAGCACGCACCTACGTTTTTTTTCTTGGCTTCTTTTCAATTCGCTAGGATTACTAACTTCTTTCCGTGCTTTGCCTGGGGGAACTTCTTTGGCACTTTTCTCCATTTTTAATGCTGGTTTCAATAAACAGTAGCTACACTTTTAATTATTTTAACAGCCACAACGAACATCAGCTGTCCCTGCTGACAATCAAGATATCACGCGGCACAGAGCATGCGCAAAGCCAAATTATGGATGTGGTTGTTTTTGCAATAAACTCAGTCATGGATGTAGCTGTCTTTGCAACATACCAGCATATTCAAATGCACTTCCAAGTGGGATGTAGCAGTTTTTGAACGAACTGGCTTTACCATATCACGAAGCATGCTTTACAGTGCACTTTTCCACTGTCAGTGAATTTTGATAAAATATGGATGTAGTCACTATTGCAAATAGACGCCTCATATATTATAGGTGTAGCCAGATTAATGAGATATGTCAGTATTTTTGAGTCGTAAATAATACATCTATTTATATAACTTCGCAAGGAAATATTGTCTAAATATTAACGCAACATCTTCAAATGCTTAACAACATATTTCAGCATTTTTTTAAAAATTTTCGTTGACCTATAATGCTCGGCAGGAGTATTATTGTTATCAGTAAATGTAAGTAAATGTAATCATCTCAACATGTCGAATTTGTTCCTTCTCTTAATCTTCAATAGATTAAGAAGAGGTGGTATTCTTAGAACGGGAGTTAACGATGAACCTAAGGTTGTATTTCTGGTTATGATACTCGTTATGAAGCACTCTATACCCTCATCGTTTAATATCAGTATAAACTGTCGTTTATTTTTTTATATTGCCACCTTCTTCATCTCCTATCAGTATCCTTATTTTGATATACAAATTAATCGATTGTGTGCTGTGGTGAGGTTTTTAATTACTCGTTAGAATTTCAAGCATCCTTTCATGTACTGCATATACAAATAATGAATGCAATCCTCTTGTTTTTAAACATGTTGAGGATGTTCTTTAAGGAGGTACTTTAATAATCTATACTGCGCTGTTAAGTATAAGAGTCGTATCTGCATCTTTAGCAGATTTTGAGTTTTTGAGAAAAATACGAAAAGTAAGGCTTCTTTAAATTCACGATGGTCAATGAGTCCTGATGATGATAGTGGTACAATACAGGTAGTATGTAAAATATTTTTTGGGCGACTCTTGGATATTTGTCTAACAATGATCGAATTATTCGAAGTGCATTCTCTTCTGCTGCCTCGCAGATACAGGCAGAAAAATTCGAAAAAGGTCGCTCTAGTTCATCGAAAAAGATAGATCGTTCTATAACCAGACAGCATATAGAGTTGTTCAATCATGCAATTTCTCATTATAAAAGGGAGAACGCTCCTAATAGGAGATACCTTTCAAGTGATATGATCATAGTGATGATGTACAGTAACTGTACTCTAATAAGGCAGTATAGGTAACTTCTCTTTA